TAATGTTTGTCCTACATGAAGCCGTACAAGCGTTTGAATTTGTTTATGAATAAAATTACACTCTTGTTTTCTGTATCTATCATACAAACATAAGCAGCACCTGTTTTTGTAAAGTTTATATGAAGTTTTCGATAGTTAAGACCTGTATAATAATAGAATGCGTCCTCATTCTCAACATAGTAGTAGAACTCAAACGAATGCTTACCATAATCTGTTATTTCAACAGCTTCGTCAGATATTTCATCAACGAACTCATAAACTATATCGCCATACTTGCTTTTATTTCTATTGTTTTCAGATCTAGAACACCAACGAAGGTTTGAGATTCTGTTGTCCGTTCTATCATGATTTATATGGTCTATTTCTTTCAAATTGTTTGGATTTTCAATCCACTGTTCTGCAATAATTCTATGCTTTAAGTACATTTTGTTGTTTAAACTAAGCACAATATAACCATAATTATTTAAGCATTCACTCATAATATGTTTGTCTTTCTTTCGACGAATAGTAAAAGGATATGTCGTACAAATCTCATAATCTTCATGATTTCTCAATGTTTCCCATTGAGTTTGTTCCCCACTAACGTTCTCATTGACGTCCTCAATATCTTCTTCCTCACTGAACTCGTCAATATTTTCACTAGCTCCTTCTGTAATGTTTTCATCGGCATTGTCATTGACTTCTTCTGTAATGTTAGATGTTGTTGTTTCGCTCATGTTCTTTCACTAATGTTAAAAAGTTATGTTGTACGAATTTTGAACAGAATTTAGAGCAGTTATGAAACAATGAAGTATTTTTACTCTATTGAAAGGAACTATGAGAGTGAAGTACATGACAGCAATGACAAAAGGAACTAATATCAAACCTAATGAAATCGCTCACGAGGACATAGAGCTTAACAAGTACTTTGTGGAGTATCTTATAAGTGAAGAGTATGTAAGACCTTACTTCATGTTTGACAGCATGAATGAGGATGTTATTTCATGGTTAAAGAATATAAGCAATGTTTTCGGTAAGTACGTCATAGATGACAAAGATCTTGTTGTATTTTATGAGACAGCAATACGAACACAGGAACTAATGGATATTATGCACTCAACAGCAAAGAAAGGATTTAGTACTATTGGCATGAATGAACATTGCAGGAATGACATATACAACCTATGCTCACGAAAGCCTTACACAAAAGCAATACAAATGATAGAACATAAGTGTCTAAGGTCAGCAAATGAAATCATTACTGTCAGTGGTTATGAAAGAACTGTTAGCAAAGATGAGTGGAAACAGCTATTCATATTAAGGAAGGACGTTGCTGAACTAGTTAAACCTGTTGCACAAACATTGTTTCAGATAAGACCAGCAATGACTAAGAACCCTTTGACCTTACTCAATGAGACCATAGAGGTTGAAGATAATGACATGAAAGAACTAGGAATGAATGAGAGAAGTTGTGAAGGATGTTTGAGTCAAAACACATGGTTCTTCAGAGCTGTTAAAAACTTAGTAAAGAACGACAGAAATATTTTATAGAGAAGTATTGCAAAGGATGTGTAAATGAATTGCTTGAAATAGAACTTAGAGACACTTTCACACTAAAGGACTTGAGAAGAAATAAGTACATGAGTGAAGAAGGTATTGACATAGCTAGTGTTATAAATGACTTAAGAAGATGTGTTGTTGTTATTGACGGAGCACGTATGACATATCTAGTGAAAGATTATGATGGAATACGAGACACAACAACACTTGTGTCAGTAGATAGCAAGGAATTCAATAAGCTCATGAAGAGTGTTTATGTAGGACGTATTGAAGAGAAGGATGTGAACGCACTGATGATTTATGAAGCGGGTCAGAACAAGAACTATCTTATGAAGTCAGGCATGAGATTCTTTGACGAAAGAGATGACATTTACAGCTATTTCAGAGGATATGAGTATGAGGTACTGAATGAAGTAGATGAAAGCATTATTGAAGGATATTTGAAACATGTTCACGATGTCATATGTAATGAGGATGAAGAGCTTTATGAGTATGTTTTGAACTGGTTCGCCTACATCGTTCAAAATCCTTGTGGAAAGACTGGAACAGTACTTTTGTTAATAGGAAAGCAAGGAACTGGTAAGAATGTACTTAGTAATGTTCTATGCGAGCTCATTAGCAAGTACGCCAACAATAATATAACGGCAATAGAGAATGTGGTTGGTAGATTCAATGCTGCTATTGAGAACATGAAGCTCATCGTATGCAATGAACTAAGCTCATGCGATACGTCTAAGGTCATGAACCACGACGCACTAAAGTCAATAGTAACAGAGACTCAGTTGGACTTAAATCAGAAGTGTCAGCCAGTAAGAAAGATAGAGAATGTTTGTAATATCATCATGATATCTAACAACTTCAACTCAGTAAAGATTGACAAAGACGACAGAAGATTTGTTGTCATTGACGTAAGCAGCAGATACAAAGGAAATTACGAATATTTCTCAAATCTCATTGAAAGCTTTAATGAAGAGTTTTATTCAAACTTACTGACGTACTTCATGAAGAAAGATTTAAGTGAATTTGATGTAAGGAAGATACCATTCACCAGGGCTAAACAAGAACTCATCGAAATGAACAAAACACCTTACCAAATGTTTTACGAGGAGTTCTATGAAAAGTTTGTATCCGGATAGAATTGTACAGAGTGCTACAGAAGATATAAAGAATTTGCGAAGGAAAATGAATTCTTTGCATGTAGTTCAAATGTATTTGGTGGCAAGATGAGAGAATTTGTGAAGAGAAGTAGAAAGCGAGACGGTTCTGCAAGAAGTTATATTTACGAAGCAAGTATGTTATTAGAAGGTCGTGGAAAGAAAGAAACAGTGAATTATGAGGAAGTGCTTGAAAAATTCATGGAGTACATGGGAAGCAATATAACATACAACAAAGACATATACAGTGAGTTTAAGTACTACTGTGAACAGCATGAGATTGAAGTAATGAGTAAAGGAGACTTTGAAACGCTTATGAAAGACAGTAAGGAGGTCGTTCATGAGAACAGTATTGAAATAGTTCATGAGAACAGTGAGGAGGTCATACATGAATGCAATGATGAAATAGTTCACGATGTCGTTCGTGAAGAAGCCATTGCAACAAAGAATGAGATAAAGGATTTCATAGAACTTAACAAGGAGGAGTTTAAAGAAGGCTATGAGGTGAAAAGATGTGAAGAAGATTTCTTGGCGTATTTGAAGAAAAAGAGACTAAAGCCAATGGCTCAAAATAAGTTTCAATCGATGTTTGAAAAGAAACGTTTGAGCTATGGTGGTGTAAGAAGCACATATTACTTTGTTAAGAAGTGAGGACATTTATTTTTGTCGTTAGTGTTGGAGTTTGTGTTTGTTGTTAGTGTTTGTCATTTGTGCTGAGGTTAGTACTTGAGTTAGTGTTGGAGTTTGTGTTTGTTGTTAGTGTTTGTCATTTGTGCTGAGGTTAGTACTTGAGTTAGTGTTGGAGTTTGTGTTTGTTGTTAGTGAGAGAATAAATTAAATCATGAACTTTGCCATGTTCTCTGTCCCTAGTAGTTTTCATTAAGTTCTGGAAATAATGAAAGTCATAAACTTTGCCATGGTCTCTGTCCCTAGTAGTTTTCATTATCTCACAGAGTTAATGAAAGTCATACTTTCTATCAGATGAAGCATGCAGATGAACATAACGAAAGTTAGTGAGTTTGCCACGAGTTATGAATAAAATATTGGAATATTAGATGAGATAGCTGATGAAACAGATGAAGATAAATTAAATCTTGGACTTTGCCACACTCTGTCCCTAGTTCCTCAAAAATCCTTGACAACGTTGCTTAGAAATTTTGGTTCAAAACCTCATCTGATTTTAATCTGTTATGCTACCTGTTAAGTTTCGCGAGATTATAAATGTCATGGAGTTATATAAAAAGGATGGACAGCTAGGGACACTGGAAGTACTTGTAAGGCTATCTGTTAAGATTGCATGAAATACTAAAAAGTCATGAAATCCATTATCGCTGTGCTAGCTTCACCTTAGAGTAAAATGACAAATAAAATCACTGAAGCAATGAAACAAAAGTTTTTTGGTAGAATACATTAAATCAGGAACTATTCCAGAAGGTTTTTACATTCATACTATGAAGGATGGTAGAGTTCAGTTTAGAAAGATAAAGCAACCATTAGATAAAGAAGGAATTTTGAGAAAGATTAAACTTCATGAGGACAACATTGCTGAACTTAGGAAGAAGTTAGAAGAGTTGGAGAAAGGAAGAGAGTTATAAAGCAATGAATTCAACAGGGTGAAAAAAGAGGTGAAAAAACAGGTGAGATCTCACCACTTCACCTAATTTATTTTGTGCTATGTTTTCATACGTGTGAGGGTGGTGATATCATTAATTTTTAAGTTTATTTTTTTATTTTATTTTTAAGTTTATTTTTATATAAATGACGAAAACTATTGAGATAACAAACTACAACGGTCATGAGTTCAAGAATTTGTTCTTCGTTCCTCGTGAAAATAATTCATATCAGATACGAGGGAGAAAGGGTAAAGTTAGTTTGAGCGTTTATGAAGGAATGAAGAATGGAAAGTTTATACAAGCATACGATACAAACGGTAAACGTGTTTCATTAGCTTTGTCAAACTTACAGGTATAACTATGACAGTGATTTTGACCTATATGAAGAAGAAAGTGAGTCAGAAGATTATGAGCTGTTATATGAAGCACAGCAATGGGAGGAGTTGCAATACTTTTGTAAGTGAGAACGTTTATTTTTTTACATTAGTGAGGTGAAGTGGTTGGCGGCTTTGTAAATATTTAAGGTTAAGTTATTGTTGTCGTTTGTGTTGTAAAATATACGTTAACGGTTTTGTAAAGTGTCAAATTCACATATAATGGGTAAGGAGGCGCGCAGTGACTCCGTACCCATGATATGTATACTAATTTGGATGGGCATCTTGATCCAAAAACCTCGACATGCTGGCGGCATATTTCAGCAACTTCCAGCAATTGATCCTTCAATGGTGAAATTGTTGGATGGTTCATTGCCGCCATATAAGCATTGTGTACCCTGTGGCAAATACAGGGTACAACAATGATTTCCTTCAACCATTGCACCTTGGATAAGGCAAGGATGGAATTATCCTTACCAGTAAGTGCAGCCAATTGTGCTGTTCCTCCATCAACTATGACACAGCCGATCTGCACGTGACAAACATGGATTGCCTTCAATCCATTATTGATCGCGAGTGTGTAGTTGGCAGTCTTCAATCCAGTCATTCTTTCTGTATGGGCTGGATAAGACTGAATTGGAAAGCAAGGATTTTCTAACACAAAGTCGAGTAAAGATCTCTTCTGTGTGGTACCTTTGTCTAGAGCGACACTAGCGTAAGGCATGCTGAACGTAGAGAAGCGCGCCATAATACTTGAATGAATCTCTTTGGATGTCTGTATGAGTATATCTTTGAGCTTATCGCGCTTGCAATGAGGGATTTTTTCCATTCCAACTTGTATTGCAGTTTTTCCATTCTCCTTTGATGTTGTATAGCCTAAACAAAAGCTATACACAATTAAGTTGTATATTTCGTCACTTTCCCCTGTGCTGAGAGAGATATTATGCTTTGCTAATAGGATAGCTAATCTGCGAAAAATTCCATCAGCATTAAATTCAACAGAACCTTCCATTTGTGATTCTGTAGATAATATAAAATTTCGAATATCTTTTTGTTTTGCACTATCAGGGAAACATTCATGAAGCTTCCCATTGCTGATTTCTTTTTTAGGTGATCATCTCTTTTTTTAAAGGCGCATCTGAATGAATCTCCATCTTGGGTGGGAACCTGAGCAGTACAACCATAATCCAATGTTTGGATTTTGCATTATACTCTAATTTTTCATAAGTCCTTTCATCACCAGGATATTTTTCATATCTGGAATTTGTCATTGCTTATATAAAAATGATTAAATTTGTGTCTTTTTTAATTTTTTACACAATATACTTAAAATACTATTTTCAACATTTTTTAAAATAAAAATTTTTAAAATAATCTCTAAGAAAAAATTCTATTTGTGTTATTGTTACATTCATAACATCATCTAGAGTGATATAAACTAAGTATCAATATTTTGAAATTGAACACGCCAAAAATTTGATAATCTACATTCAATATTTTGTAAGTGGCGTACTTTTTGAATACTCGCCATACGCCTTGGAGTTCTCAATTTTGAATTCGCCTTTATTTGGGCGACCTCAGAAAAATACGCCATTAAGAAAATATTGTATGAGATTTTAAAATTGAACACGCTCTACCTTAAGGAATTAAATTTATTCAGATATAATAAACGAGTGCTTAAAAAATGTATTTAATCGCTTATGTAAGTTCCAAAAAAATCACGAAAATAAAAAAATCAAGATTAAAATTTTATTTTTAATTTTTGAATTTCTCAAATGGCGAAATTTTTGGGCGAACAAAAAAAATGTACGCCCGGTCAAATGGCGTAATTAGCGCATCCCTATTTTAAACATGACTTTTTTTTTAAAAAAAAGATATTTGAACATATACAAACATGGAAAGAAAGTTATTTACTATGTAAAACACATAATAATAAATATAATGATTATTCTTCTGGATGAGGTACAATAATAACACCTTCTGGATAAGGAATCATGTGGAATTCATCTGAAATACAATCAACAATTTGGTTTCGTTTTTTCAGTGTTGATTTTCTTTCTTCAATTGATAAAGTTTTCTCAGCAATTAGTCGATGAAGACGACTGATTTCAACAGATATATAAGTAGATACTTTTGACTGATGCTTTGGAATGTTGTTTTGCAAAATAGCGTGATTTTGTAAATCTTTTGTAATTCTTTGTTTAGTTGTTGTGATTTTATGTTCAATATCATCTTTAAGTTGCTTATATTGCTCAATTCTCCTCTGTTCTCCAACAATCTTCGCAGTTAATTCATCATTAATTTTTGATAATAATTTTACTTTTCTAACAAGAGGTGTTTTTGGTATTTTGATCTCAATTTGTTGGTCTTTGAATGGTTCTATAACTGTTGAATTCAATTTATTAAGTTTCTGTTGTAATTTAGATTTTTCTTTAATTAAATCAGAACAAATCACAGAAAGTCCTTCATATTCAAGTCTTGTGTTTATTGTATCTTGTTCTTGTTCGTATTCTTGTTGGTTTAGCTCGTGGTATAAAATTTCATTATTTTTTTCGTTTTCTTCTTCAATACTGATTTTTGTAATGTTTTTGGCAATTTTTATTTGCAGTTCCTTTTCGTTCTCATTCAGAGACTCAAGGATTGCTTTATCATGTTGAATTAATTTTAATAATTCTAATCTTTGTTGATGAACTGAATTTATAAGAGTGGATTGACTATCTATGTATTGTTGGCTTTTCCTGTACTTGTTTGATGAGATTTTACTTATTTCTTCCTGTTGATTTAAAATGGATTTAAGGTTTTCTTGTTTTTTCGCAAGATTTTCATTCATTCTACGCTTTTTAGACGAGATTATTTCCATTTCTTCTTTTGTTTCTGTACAATCATTTAAAATTCGTTTAATATTTTTTGTATATTCTTCTTTTTTCTTGATTAGAACAGAAAGACTGTTCTTTTGATCATTTACACATGATGTAGAATTGTTTAAATCCGAATTGATTGCGTTGAGATCTTTTTGTTGTGTAATTTTATACTTCAATAATTCTTCACGTAATTCTTCAATTCTTTTCATTGTTTTGTTAAGTTTGGACTTTAGAATAGATGACATAGAGTCGTAATTTACATTGGAAATCTTGCAGTTCGAAATGTCTGTTGATAATTCTTTGATTTCTTCTGCAAGATCGTTAACATCATCTTCAACTGTATTAGCAAGAGGATCAGATAGAACAAGTAATTCCTTTGATTTATTTTCTAATGATGCGAGTTCAGACGTAACTTTTTTGTCATTTTCGCGAATATTTGTAATTTTTAATTGCAAATTTTGAATTTTAACAACAATAGACTCATATAATTCGTTTAATTGATTAAGCTTATCTTCATTCTGTTTGATATCTTGAGTAATTTTCTCGTTTTCGATTGGATTATTTGCTTTAAATTGGCAAACATCAAGATCTAGTTGGTCTTTCTTTTGTAAATACGAGTTATTACGAGTTTCAAGCATCTTTTCCTTTATTAGACACCTCTTTTTAAGTTCTTCAATAATTTTCTCTTTTTCTTCGATATTTGAACGAATGTTTCGAATTGCATCAGCATGATCTTTGAGTGCTTTTTCTGTATGATTGATTCTTTTTCTTGTGGATGATGGTGGTACTAAATTTGTTTCCATTTTATTTGAAATTCAAAACGAATGATTTTTTATATTGTCAAAAATCCGAAAGTCTGATAGAGATTGCAAATAATAAAGATGACAACTATTATCTATAGAACCTTAATAATGAATAGCCAAGTTTTCACCCATAAAAATAGAGTTTTGATTAAAAATTTATATTCTATTTTAATTTATTTATTAATTTGGTGAATATTTATATGCTTATGTGTTTCTATGGAAGGATTAATGCTTGAATTATCAAAATGAAATCATAAATGTATTATGCTAGCACATCATATTATCGAGCCAGAAATCGACAACTATATTGGAGAAATGCCAAACAAAATTTAGTACTACTTTCAATTTTATTAATCATTGTCACTATTATTAGTCAGTTAAGATTCAATCCAATCATAGAACCTTTTGCATTCTTTTCAAATCCAAGCATTTTGCGGGATTCAGTTAATAGACACTTAGGAGGACCAGTAACAATCGATGATGCGTTACTTATAACTAGACTTCGCGATGAAAAATTATTTAAAAAATGCAAATTGTGTTTAAAGCCAAAACAACACGATTTCAAAAAGAGTACCAATGCAGATCTAGCACTAGTATTTGGTTTTGGTAACCAAACCCATTACTTTTTAACTTGGATGAGAAATCTTCGAAGTACAGGTTGTAATTGCGGGGTTCTTATATTCATTTCTCAAGGATATTTGAATTTTTTCACTAATGAAACATTGCAAGAACTCAAAAATTGTGGTGCAAATTTCTTGACTTTGAATAGTTACGAAGGCGTTGATGATGATCGTACTTTACGAAATTTAGTTGTACTGTCCTTCTTAGATCAATACAGATTTTTCTTTAATAGGATTTTTATCAATGATATATTTGATACTCTTTTCCAAGGAGATCCATTTGATGAGAATCTGCCGAAAGATAAAGTTTCTGTCTCAATTGAACGTGTAACATTTAGCCATCATAGATGGGCTATCGAAAAACAGCTTAATACAGATGATAACTTTACTGAAGACTTTTATGGCGATAAATTTCTTCTAAATAGTGGTATTATTATGGGTCCATCACAAAAAGTTTATGAGCAATCCATACTCAATTATGTATATTATAGAGGTCTTTTCAATGATTTTTATGTTGATTTCGATGCACATTTCTATTCTTCAATTTGCTACTCGATATTCGAACAAAAACCAAGGAAAGACGGAAAAATGTACGAATTGAATGGCCAGTACGCACCTGCATTGATACATCAATTTGATAGAATATGCCCAATGATAGTCTATGATAAAAATGTTTGTCCTGCTTTGAATACGCTTAACATTTCAAATGTTCATTAAAAAAGATATGGAAATCCAGAAAGACCATGATTTACGCATGTTAACCAGAAATGTGGAGAAGAGGATTCTAATACACGACTGCTTGGCTACAAATATGGCCAAAATCAAACTTAATATTTTATTTCAGTTCAGCTATCAATTTGATAACTGACATAATCATGTAAAAATGTGTTTGTATATGAACTAAATCTTAAAACAAATTTTAATATATGAATGGAACTATATTTTTAACACCGCATCATATCTCAATGAAAAGGATGGTGAAAAACCTATGTTCATTTGGTAGTTGTACTTTTTCTTCAATATATTAAAGGCGGCCACGGCGGTGGAATCAACGGATATGCTGGATCAAAATATATATATCAAGAAACCCAATATAAACTTACTTCCTCAACTGGAGCAAGTAACATTTTAGGTGGGATTTCATGCATAAAGGATTCTGCTAATTCCAGCGAAATTATCAATGGGACCTTTGGAATTGGTGCTAGCCCAATGAGAAGAGAATATGGGTCTGGAGGTGGCGGGGGTTATTATGGAGGTGGTGCTGGGAATGCAGGTAGTTATGTGGTCGGATCTGGTTCAGGAGGATCATCTTTCATATCAGGATATAAAGGTTGTAATGCGATATCGAAAGATTATGATCTTAATAAACCAATTCATACAGGGAAACCAGAACATTATTCAGGTTTTGTCTTTGCCAACCCAATAATGAAAGATGGCAAAACTATACAATACATTGGCAACGGCAAAGCTCGCATCACCGTTGTTCATCAAAACTATTTTAATCTTCGAAGTTGTTTATACTTTTATCGAATGAATTACTTTCACTATTATTCTTATTTTCTTATTTTCCTTGATAGTTAAGGGTGCACACGAGAGGATCATGTAAACTTCAGAATTTAGAACCTTATTTTTAGGCATTATCTTGGCTACCTATTTAGGCTCGAAAAGCAAAAAATATCAAAAAATACAACTTGAGTCCATTATGACCCTTTCATGGAGGTAGTTTTTATCCGCTAGTATTTTCCCTTTGAATCTCTTTACAATTCGAAATCAAATTCAAATCTCAGTAGAAGAAAGGAAGAATCGACTTACTACGGTTGTAATACGAATAAATACATATATTTAATTATTTTTATTTACATAATAATTGTTTGAAGCTCATATTCCATCAAATTTTTAAATAAAAACATTAAAATGTTGAAAATGTTCATATATTTTAATAGGGTTTTGGCACGTTATTGAGGAATTACTACATACATAGTCGAACTGAACTTGATATTTTGAAATTTAAATTATTTATCAAAATTAAAATTTAACTTGAAATTTATAATTATTTAGTCATATTTTGCATAATTCTAAGTAGATTTTGTAAAAAATCAAGAAAGAAAATTTTAACGTGCTTTATTTTTTCTTTTTTATAATAATACATATTATTATATAATTAACATATTCATAATGTTTCACCCTTTCAAAAATATAATCATCCTCCTCTCAAATAAACGTACATACGGGTGGCCTCTTTTTTCAAAAAATTAAAATTTGAAATTTTGGGCTCAAATATTAGAGATTTTTTCAACCTTCAACGATATATGTTGTCTATATCAGACCTCCTTTCTTTTTGATACTTAACATTGTTCCTAAATCTTAGCCGTTAAGGATGTTCTGAAAATATTTTTTTTCGAAAAAATTCGAAAAAAATTCTTAAAATTCAAAAATCCCTTAATTCCTGAGGATTTTGGAAAAAAAGTTTTTACATGAACATGTGTATATTATATGAAGTATATTGATAAGGTAAAAATCAAATTTTATTGCATATTCATCGAGAAAATAAACTAACGAATCCCTCAAAATTGAGAGGGTAATCCTCCTCCTCTCAAATAAACGTACATACGGGTGCACCCTTAATTGTCCATTTGTCTAAATCATTTTAGGCACTCAAAGTATAGTCCTGTTTCTTCATTAACAAAATATATTTAACAAAAGGAAATGTTATGAATTTCAACAAATAATATATATTAAAATTGATGATTATTAGATTATATTTTGTACAATATTTTCCAAATATTTTGTAATGCTCACAATTATTAATATGTTTTATTAAATAGCCCAGAACTGTATATTATAGCTAAAATACTTATGAGAGTTTCTATCGGAGTTCTAAATTCTGTTTACATATTTTAAAAATAATTAAAAACAATTATTAAAACAAAAATATAAACTATTTACAATCCATTTAATAAAGAAACATCATCTAATTCAGAAGCTGCAATAGCTGTTGCTGTTTCTATGTCACCTCCTGCAACAAGCATTCGAAGTGCTTGTCCTCTAGATGTCGGAGTAATGACAGATGACATAGATTCAACAATAACATCAACAGATTCTCTCATGTGTGGGTTTGCATCTTTATAGAACAATGTCAAAGTCTGGAACAAAGGAAGGAAGTTATAAACAATCATAGGAAGCTTGGAAAACAAGTATGAAGGAGCATCGACATTATCTCCACCATCTGAAATGACTTTCAACAAAATTTGTCCAGATTCAAATGAAGGGAATTCCAAGAAAAATGCTTCGATCTTTTCCAAGTAATCGAAGAACATTTGTTCTTTAGATCTCTTTCCATTTTCGTTTATAACTCTATATGTTTCTCTTATTGCTTCTAAAACATCAAACGATGAATAACATGATGAAAGAAGAGATTCATAAAGTTTTCCAACTTTCAAAGCTAATTGCGGGAATAAAGAAACAGCTAAATTAAACTGTGGTGATGACAATCTCTGTACAAATTGATTGACAAATCCAGAGAAGAAAGGAAGAGGAATCTGATCAACATTAGCATTAACTAATATCCTGGACATCAATAAACAACAGCTTTGAACAGTTCTGAAATACAATCTGTAGAACTCAAATTGATTGTAAATCGTAATCGCGAGGTTATTTACAAGTTGGAACTGCTTTGTTGTTGAATTTGGTGCCAAGAAGAATGTCAATGCACGTAAGCCATTAGATTTAAGTGATGGCAAATTGTGCTGCAAAATTGTTTCAAAGTTTGGCTGTGCTAAAACTCCGAAATTCTCGTTTTTAGTGTTTTGAACTAAACTAATCAAAGGATAGATAGAAAAGATAGATGTAACACCAAACGTAATTGCAGAGTTAATGATCTTAACACAGTTCTCAATGGAGGGAACGGAAGGTGCCAAAATTTGACACAAATTTGTCAATTCATTGAAAATTGAAGGAGTAAAATCTGACAAGAAATTGTCAATATTTTCATTGACCAAAATTAGATTTGTTTGGAACAAAGCTGTCTTTCTTTGAGCCTTTATTGCTGTCAAAGCCGCAGAGATGAATCGGAGGAAAACAATCTTTTTCCTGTTAGATGTTAAATCGTTGTAAACTGGCAAAGTTTTGTTGATTAAAATTGATAATTGGTCACCATCAATTTGGATGTTGCTCATCAAAGGCATCAATTTAAGGAGTCTGTGAGCTTTGTAGTCTTCTTGTTCTACAACATAATTAACGAAATAATTGGAATCCAATCTAATCAAATCCAAAATTTTGTTGTTTTTCTCATAATCAACAAATAATTCTGGAGAAATTTTTGTTCCTATCTTTTCTTCAATGTATTCTTTGATGTTTTCTGGTAAATCTTTGATTTGTGTCTTTTGTAATTGTAAAATCAAAGAAAATATCTCGTCATCATTTCTGAATTTTTGATTTGTCAGTAATTTGACAAATTCGACTTCACTTTTGTTTCTAATTGCGTAATTCAAAACAGATTTCATTGTTTTGATGTCTTCTTTTTCATAAACTAAATTAAATATCTTAGAAAACATGTCATCAGTTAACTTCACTTTTCCTGCTGTCAAAAGTGAAGTGATCAATGCCAAATCATCTGGCAACTCGTTTCTTTTGATGTTTGGCTGAATGGAAGCAATTGTCATTTTTCCTGTCACTTTTTTATATTCAAATGGTTCCGGCGGTTGTGGCGGAATTCTGAAGAAAGAAACATCAATTTTTGCGAATGTATCTGGATTTTGTTCGATGAAAATTGGCACGTTTTCTAAGTCAAAAATAGAGTTATAAATAATAACGAAATCCCAATGTTCTCTATCTAATTTTTCGAGTGTTTCCATTGGCAATTTTGTTTTCTCGTATTTAGACATGAACTTAAACGTGCATGAATCCATTTCAGGGTCTCCAACCGGCCATTTATCGAAAGGAGATTTTTCGAAATAATTTTTAACTCTTTCAGAAAACGGTTCTCCAATATCAACAGCGTATTGCAACAAAGCAGCAGCATGTTCATCTTTAATTTCCTTTAATAGGCTGCTTCCCATTACGTGAACGAGTTTAAACAAAATCTTTGAAGCTTCAATTTCTCCCAATTGCGAAATCAAATTAAAAACTCCTTCCATCGCAATTTCATGATTATCCTGATCAACAATAATGAAAGCGAGGAAAACAAGTTCTGGTGCTGTTCCCGCTGTCTGCAAATATTTCTGTAGCATCTCATTGACAACAGGAGGAAGAGGTTTCGGACAATTCGTAAATAATTTGACACATGCTGCAGAAACTTCATCTTTCGATGTAACTTTGAATGTTTCCAAGCCAAGACTCCACAAATTATCGTAATAAGGATTGGAAATATCAATAAGTGTTCTAGCAGCGTCCAACGCGTAATGTCCGAGAATAGGAACTAAATAATACGAATCCCAAAACAAAGTATCAGTGTCTTGAAGCAAAGCTCGTGGAATTGAATAAAGAAAACTGAAACAATTCATGACAGGCATCATTACTGATACATGATCAAATGTAGGGTTCGCAACGATGTCTGTATCGAGTGTTTCGACAAATGAGCCTTGAGGAATTGGCACATCATAGTGGTTTTGTGGATAATCCATTTTTCTGTGTGAAAAACTTTGGTATTCGCGGGCAATGAACTCGAAAGAGAAGGTCCTGATGTTATCTGGCATATGATCTATTGGTACATGTGACAAAAACTCATATACATTCGATAATAAGTTGATATTATCGTAAAATAAAATTGATTCATAGGCAATGTCAACGAACATTTGGAAAGAAGAGGCTCTGAAGAGGTCAGAAAGCCTGGCAAGCAACCGGAAACATCGCATGGCTACTCCTTCAGTCATCCAGTCAGATCTGTAAATCTTTGATAATAAATCATTGATATTTGTATAGGAAGCGACCTTTATGAGGCTATCTGTGGCACTGTTGTACAACCTATCGGTTGTACTGAGTGTATATTCGAGTAATCTCTCAAAAACAAGTTCTTGATAAATTGGAAACTGTTTCATAGCAAGGGAAAGAGGAATGCGATCAATCATCTTGCAAACTGTTTCATCGTGAACCCAGTTCTTATTCTTTTTGCGGAGAATAAGCTCAAGTAACTCGATATGAATATTTTTCTTGCATCTTTTGAGGAGTTCTTCAATGCAGTTGCCGAAACATTCGACAAATGTGCAGTAAAGATCGTTTTCGGAGTCTTTGAAAGGAAGGAAGAAGGCAGCAACATCATCTGCGTCAACTTTTCCGGAATTGTAAGTATCTATGAAGTAAGTGACTGCTGCATTAAGTTTGGCACCTTTGACTGAGTCCGCATCCTTTTCTTCGAGCTTGATGTCGGATAATGGAGTTGGCAAATTTAATAACTTTGTTTTGAAAGGTAATGAAAGATTATCGGGTATGGCAGTGTATATTCTAGTATGAATGGCTTCTTCTAGATCAGAACCGCGAGATTTTTTGAGAAAGATATTTGCAATTTTGCAAGAATATTCAAAAAGACTGAGTTGAGGCTTCTGTCGTGTAAAAATTTTGATAGCATGCGAAAGGAATAATTCTCTGTATTCGTCGCCTAAACAATTGTAAATTTCATCATCTCCAAGAAGGAAAGGACCAAGCCACACAATTGCGTCTTCCAGCTGGTTACCAGCCAAGAATGACATGCAATCCTGTGTTAATTGCTCTTTGTTCAAAGAAATAAGCTGATAAACTGTATTTGCGAAAGCGTAATTTGGTTTTCGACCACACGAAACGAGAATTGATCTCAAAATGTTTTGATGGAACTCTACGGGTAAAACTTTCATTAAAGGTATAATTGTCGGTAAATGCTGAATATAATCGGAAACATCAACACCGAAGTGATGTACAACAGGAACCATCGCAACAAACTCTGTGATACGGACAGGTGATACGAATCTCGATAGATAAACAAACATATTAATAATTGCCACAGACATCTTTGGAGAAACGGGTAATTGTGAGGTTGCTGAGCCAAATGCACGAATAAAAAGCATTGGAGAGAATGGTGCGACGCAAAGAAGAAGGGCACCTAAGGTTGAATATGCATTTACTCGAACAGTTGCATCAGAATACTCAGTGAAGTTGAGTATCGTTGAAATAACAACTGATAAGCATAATTGCGGATTTACTCGTTGAAATGAATTTAACCATTGAAATGAAACAGATTTTCTGAATCTTGTCAACGTAATAATAATTGTTTGGTTATCGTCAGAGCGAAGTCCATTAATGTTCTTGTATAGAATTCCGAAATTGTCATCAATTTCGACAATGACAGGAACTCCACTCATCGTCTGATTTTTTTTTATTATGATATTTCATAAAACTATTATAAAAGATATTGATCGTGTAATTAATATTGGTATGAGAAGGCATTTTGATTTTCATCATTGTTTAATCAATTTCTTAATTCATTTTGAATAAAATTTCTCAATAGTTGTATTTAATGAATTCTAATAACCGTTATATGTTTCCAAAGTTTTTAATGTCATAATCATACTTCCTTAAGGCTGAATAAATAATATAATAAAATTTTGAATAATTTTCTAAAATTGTACTTATTTTATAACAGCATTTATTAACACAAACTCATAAAAATGATAAATGTTTGTTCGAATTTAAAAAATAGGATATAAGAAAGATATAAAATTTTATTATTCTATAAAATGATAGTGTATGTATAATAAATTTTCAATAAATTAAGTTCATGATAATATGAGATTGGTAAAATGTCTATATTTAAAAAGTTAATTCGATTTTGTTTTCTGTAATTCTTCTATTTTTGCAATTTGTTCGTTTATTTGTCCTAATATCTTGGCGGAAATTATTGCTTGTTTGATAGCTTTTTCAAAGCTTGATCGTATTTGTTCAATATCTTTCTCAGAAACGCCTGGAACAAGAGGAAGTTCTTTTTGATCATCAATCTCTTTATTAGTTCTAAAAACCATGCGAGCTTCTTCTGAAACTGGAACTGAAGACCAAATCAAGCCAAATGATGATTTTTTAGTTTGAGCAATATCTAAATATCCATCAACCATATAGGATTGAATATCTGCCATAGAACGTTCGTACTCTTGAAGAGTTTCTAGAAGCTTTAAAACTTCCTCATTTTTGGACATATTCAAAATGTTTTTTGAAAATTTTTGAAAAAAAAAAGTAAAAAATTTTAGCGATATCAATCATATCAGAACTCTCATTTATGGATCTACTTTCATGTTAACATTGACGTTTCAAATAATTCATTTGATTTATAAGAATAGCTCAGAAATTCTTTGTTGCATACACTAACTTTCATATTTATTAAAATTAATTCACGTTAATTAAGGTAAGAAAATAATTTACTAATGCAGAGCAGTGTAAAAGAATTATAAGATAACATTATTGGTATCATCAACTTCATTATTGTCTTCATTGTCATATTCATTATCATCAAACATTTCATCGACGATATATTGATCACCAACCAGATGATCGTCTTCTTGGAAGTCTTTTGAAAATGGGTCATCTTGTCCTTGCGTTGTTGTGAACAATGGATTATCATTTGTTGTCTCTGTTTGCGTTGTATTTCCTATTTGGATAGTTTCAGCTTCCATTTCAACACCTTCTGGAGTTTCACTCTCTGCTTCTTTCTCTTTCTGTCTTCGGAGTAAAACGAGGAAAATTATAATAGCTGTGATTATTCCAATGACAATAAGAGCAATTAATGGCCAGAGTCCGTACTTTCCGAAAGGTGTTTGGAAGAATCCAAGGACAGCACTCTCGGTGCTAGTGCTCACTTGAGCAATTTCATATGTTATCATGTTAAGTGTATATGTGATGTATACCGAACCTTCCTCATCATATGTTGTGAGAGGAACATATGTCAAAATACTAGTATATGTTATACCACCCGTGTAACCTGTAGGTAGTCTCGATGGAAGTGGATATGGCGGTGCAGGAGATCTGATTGGTGTTCTCCTCTGATTTCCTCCATTTTGCCCGCCGTCATTATCTTCACCACCAGGGTCTTCTGGATTTTCTTGGTGGCAATCAATGTTGTATCTAAAGTAGTACTCACGTGATGTGGCGCCTTTGCTATCCCTGATTTGGATGATTATTGTGTTAAGACCACAACGATCACCTGATGAGATATTAAAGTTGAATTCATTGCAACTATCACGCTCATTAGCAGGGCATTGATGGATATCTTCGAAATCATCTTCATTCTTCTTGAATGATACAGTTTCATTATCTTCAAGATCTGTGTCTTCAAATCTACCCTGAATAGTGATATTTTCTCCAGGATTGATTGTAGGAATTTCTGTATTCTCAAATGATCCATCATTACCATTTCCTCCTTTTCCAGATCCTGAACCTGATTCAGATCCGCTTCCAGTGCCTGATCCAGACCCACTTCCAGTGCCTGATCCTGATCCGCTTCCAGTGCCTGATCCTGACCCGCTTTCATTGCCTGAATCACTGCCTGTACCAGAATTACCTCCTGATCCACTTCCAGAGCTTGAACCACTTCCCGTTCCTGTATCTGATCCAGAGCCAGATCCGGATCCACTTCCTGATCCTGAACCTGAGCCCCTACCAGAACCTGAATTAGAACTTGATCCATTCGAACCTCCATTGATGGTTCCTGTTCCATTTGCTGTTGGAAAAGTGATTGTAATATCTTCAATCGTTGGTGTGTTCAAGTTATAGTATAAGAATGAGAAATTCTGGGGATCAGACATCATTCCATATTCATCAACTGCTGCAAGATATATTGTATGTAATCTGAAATCAAGAGATTTATCTGGAATTTCAATTTGATGGTGAATTGAAAGACTCTTGTCATAGAGTGCATAAAGATTGCTCAAATTAATTAAATTGTCACTATCATCGATTGAGTATGCCATTTGCGCTTTCGTATCATCATATATGCTTATGTCTAAACTAATGAATGCATGGCCAAATACCGAACTTGGCAAAGGACTTAATAATTCAAATGAAGGAGGTTTGTTATATATGATCGGTTGAACAAAAGTTGATATTGTCTGGTTATTGTCATTCTTTAATTCAAATGATATGTTTCCACCATCAAAATTAGGAATAATTTCTTTGATATATTCATCAAATGATTTGCCTAAAGGAATTGTTGAAATATCGATATAAAATGTTGTTCCGGTTTCAACCCATGTGGCAACAATTCCTTTGGAATTTTTATATGCAACATTTGTTTCCAAGAAGTTCAATACAGTAAATCCATCTAGTATTTTTCTTACTCTTGATGGAACTGAAATATTTCCATATTTATTACCAGAATCTGATACATATTGATATGCTGGGAGAAATCGTGTGACGACTTCTGTGGTTGTCTTGATTTCTTGTCTATAAATCTCGGAAGTATATTGCTTATAGTTTGCTGCTTGGAATGTTGCAATGAATAATGAATCCGATTTTGGTGCATTATTATCATATGAATAATACACATCTAGATTTGTATTTATTGGATAATCAATAGCATATCCTATAATAGTGATTGTTTCGTTTATATGATAGCATCTCTGTGGAGGGACTGTAAATTGTAATCCTGGGGTTCTTTGAACTCCAAACTTATATGAGAAAACTTGAGAAGCCACACCTTCTGAATTCAATGCCATAATTGAAATAGTATGAACACCATCTACTCTAATTGGTGGTATTTCCATTTTAATTGTTGTTTCTTTTCCATCTGAGAGATAGTTAGTATATTGAGTATATTCTTCTTCATTGTCAAATTTGTAATTGATATAAATACGATTATTTAATTTTGAATCCATTACTTTCATTGTAAACTGAATCAAATCACTGTATCTTTTAGAATAGCATATAGAATTAGAGCATGTATTTTCAATATTATTATTGACAATTGATAATATTGGTGAAGATTTGGAAACACTATAATAAATTGTTTTTTCAAGAATATTTGAAACTAAATTGAATTTGTTTGTTGCATATATTTTGAAGTAAACATTTTTTTCATTAGAATCCTCAATTTTATAAACATATTTCAGATTTCTTGTCCTTCTACTGCAATATAAATCTTTTGCCAGTTGAATTTCATATTCGTTATTAATTATTAGAATCACGTCTACATAATCTACATCAAAGATATTAAGGTCGAATTCAATCGTTGCTGGCTTGAAATAATAATCATCGAGATGATTTTTGAATGAAATTGCTGGGGGCGGATTTATTTTTAAGTATTTGCTATATCGATTCGTAGTTATTGATCCATAAATGTCCTTTCCGATTAGTATAATATAATGATCATAAACATCATTTGGTATTTGAAGAATTAATGTTATAATTGAAGAATTTAGGTTCTCTTGAATTAATGCATCTGCGATAAATATATTTTCAGATGAATCGAAACCGTAATATATTTTAACTGTTTTACCTGGTATATGATCATAGACGACGACATCTAGTGTAAATGTTTCATTTGGGAAGTAATATTGTTTTATTGGTGTTAAAACATCAATACCTGGTTCTCTTCTCACATTAATTTCAAAACTTACGATATTCGACGAAGATCCTGATTCATCAAAACAAATGATCTTTAAAGTATGCTTGCCATTGATATGAGGAACACTAATGTTTCCTTCGAAAACCTGTGACACACCAATTGAGTTTAATGATGTCAAATTATGATAAAATTCATCATCCATGCTGTACATTATATATAAAACATCATCAACATCAACATCAATTACATTACCTGAAATGTATATATTCTCTGAGAAATGATATAGATCTTTTGATAAACCTGTAATATTTAAAATTGGTGCGTGAGATCTAGATAAGGTAAATTCCTTTTCCATTTCATTTGATTTTCCGCCATATTCATCTATAATTTGAATTTTCAACTTATGAGATGAAAAATTAAGTGATTGTGGGATAGGTACTTGTGACTGAATCATTCTTGGGGAACTGAAGTTCATATTAATGAACTCTGATATAAATGATAAACTTTCATTATTATCAAAGCAGCTTATAATTTTTGCCCTTGTATCATCAGATACATTTATATTAAGCTTAATGAATTCTCCAATTGCATACTGATCTTTGAAATCAATTCGATCTTTAATTATAGGATTTCTATTTATGGTTATAATATCACCACCATAATAATCATACGCAGAGACATAAATATGATATTTTCCTGAATATTGAGGCATACTAATATTCAATGAGAAAACATCGGTTCTATAGCCATCATTTGTTGTGATTGAGTCTATTCCAAGATGTGCATCAGTAATCTGAAATCGATGTCTAACAAATGTCCCATCGAATCCATAAATCACTTGATGAACTGTTCCTGGATCAGATCCATATAAAAATCCTTTAAGTTCGCTAATACTTCCTGGTTCATAAAATTTGTCAACAAATAAATGAATTCCTGTATCGTGTTGAACTTTAATATCAAATTTCTTGGATACCGATTCAGCACCAATGCTATTTATTGCAGTGAATATATACATATAAAATCCTTCTTTTTTGGGAACTGGGTAGGAAATATTGAAAGAATGTACAATAGAATCAGATTTAGTTGAAAAGATCAATGATTTGTTTAACAATGGAACTTGAATAGAATTGTATATATAATTCCATTTAGTGATTTCATTATATATACTGGATTTGCATCAAATAATTGGACATTAAATGTCACATTTTCGTGGAATTTATAATATGAGTTATAATTTCGCGAAACGTTGACTTTCGGAGCTTCATTAATATCAAAAACAAATGATTGATTCATTTTTTCTGAGTCTAAACTGAAATAATCTCTAAAATATATTTCGATGTAATTAATTCCAGCTCTTAAATTATCAGGTAATGGTATATCTATTGAAATAGTAGAATTATCATCATTCAAATCATAATATTTTCCATCCCAAAAATATTCAACATCGTTAAAACTATACCTTATACTGACCCGATCGGAATCTTTCAAAATGCATTTTATTTCGATATTTGAGTTTTTGAAATATTTCTCTTTAATTGGTTCCCAATATAGAAGTTTGGGAGGATTATTTACATGTATCTTGTACTCTATTTTATTGCTTGGATTCAAATTTCCTTCTTCCATTGCAATTATCTTTAAAGTATGCATTCCAGTATTTGATAGCATTGTTATACTGCAATCTATTAATTCGCTAATGCAAGATTCATTAATATAAACATATTCTGAAGCCTGAATGTATTGTTTGTGTGAATCAAACTCATAAAATATTGCAACCTTTGATCCTGGCAAATAGTCCTTAATATATCGGGATTTATTTAAAACAAAATTTGAAGGATATGTTGAATCAAAATATCCAATAAAATCAATTGTTTGATATTGAACAAGATCAAATGTTACTGTTTTTGTGGTTGAAATATTTGTTTCATCTATAGCCATGAAAGTTAATTTGTGTGATCCTGCAACAAGTGGTTCGTTATAAATGTAATTGTATTTATTAAATTCTTTTGTACTTATATAACTATATAAAAAATTGAACTTTCCATCTTCAATGCTAAGAAATACGTCGACCTTATTTCCTAAATCTTGATCATTCGATTCTATTTTGATTTGTTTTTTCTCATGGAATTTAAAATTAGGACTTGACCCAATATTCAAAATTGGTGCATGTTTGCTTGTTGCATAATAGTTCATTGAAGTTATTTCGGATTCAAATTTATCAATAATGAATACCTGAATACTGAGATTGTGCCACCCAGGTTTGTCAGAAGCTAGAATTTTAAGTGTAATATTTTTAATTTCATCTTTTCGACTGGTATTTATCCAGCTATCTTCATCTGATACTTTATACTGAATATATATAGATGTAGAAGCTTTAACACTTAGATTAATTTCTATAATCTCTGATAATGCATACTCGTCTTTTATGTTGCTTATCCATTCAATAACAGGAGGATTATCAACTACAAATCTTATTTCTTTTGGCCATCCTAATCCTTTAATTGAAATTTCAACATTATATTCAGCGTATTTATCAGGAAGTTGAATTTCATAAATATTTAAACCAGACGAATAATTATCCAAAATAAGAATATCTTCATGAGTTGTTATTATTTCATTGTTTATTTTATATTCGACTTTATGGCGTGATCCTGGTAATGGGTTTGTAATGTAATATTCTATTGTGCAATTAGAATTCATGAGATAACGGCGCTTCATTTTTTCAGAAATAACTATAACATTCGGTTGTGAATCTACATAAAAACTCTTAGACAAAGTATCACTATAAAATCCTGATGTATCATTTGCGAAAAATGTCAAAATGTTTCGTTTCTGAGCATAAGGAAATTGAAAATTGAAGTTAAAATATTCGTATTTCCTATTAGCTATTATAGTCCTTATAAATTGAATATTATCAGTATCGTCTTTCACATATATATTAACTTCTTGTCCAATATTATAATCAATAACTCCGATTTGATAAGGTACTACCATGTCTGGCATTGTAAAGCTATACCTATCAGTTAAACTTTTTACTTTAATTATAGGCTTAATACTTGTTGATATTTCAAAATTGAAAGTTAATGTATTGCTTTTACGACCATCGGCTTCAATCTTCACATGAATACTATGGGGTCCAGTTAAATAAATTGTTTCTTGGATGTTGATTGTTATTTCATTATATTGATTTTGAATAGAATAATAATTATTAATTTCTTTTGAAGAATCATCAATTTTATAGCCAATGTAAACACCTCTGTTTTGTTTTAGTGTGGTATTAAAAATTGTCAGTAAATTAATCGAGTCGCCTACGCTAAAAACTGTTTTTGAAGAATTAACTGATATTAACACTGGACTTGAATAAGTTGTAATTGAGTATTTAGTTTCTTCACTGGAATTTAGGCCATCATTTAAAGATAAATAAAGATCATAGTTTCCAATTTTAATAAAATCGGAAACATTGGCTTTTAATAGAATTTCAAACCTTTCAGTCATTGTATTTCTATTTAATCGATACTCTTTCACAACTGTCGAATTATCTTCTAAATATACGTATCGAACCTTGAAATTTATTTCAAAATATTTGCTCATCCCACGGATTGTACAAGGGAAATCAAGATTATAATCCTGTGATATAGTATAGGAACTTAAATAATGGCAATGTAAGTATGAATTAATAAAATCTTCTGGTTCATGATTTATTTCTCCATGATATGTAATCTGGATAGATTGATTATTAGAATGTTTGCCATCATCTGTTTCAATCCAAAACGAATATTCATAAGTTCCAGCAGTTTCAGGGTGAGAAATGATAATATTATCATAAATAAAGCCATCCCAAGCATCTTCTATTCTTTTTGCGATAGTTGGCGATTCTCCATTAACTGAATAAAATATTGTGCATTTTTGACCAAATAAATAAGTAATTCTACATTGTAATTCTTGATCCTCTAAAGGTACTGTATCGACTTGATGAAACATAAGGAATAATTCTGGCAGTGTTTCATTTGTTATAGTAATTGGAAATTGGATTTCATTTGATTCTTCGCCAAATAAATTTACAAATTTTAGTTTGAGAGAATATTCTCTTATTGGAAGCAAATGGAGAATAAATTCTGATAAGTCGTAAGCTGAAGGAAAACTGGTGTATATGGAATAGTTAATACCAGAGATATATGATAGTAGATCTGATGGTACTGTGAAATCGAGTAAATATGTTTTATAACCTGGATCCTCTGTTTCTGTGGATTCAAATTTTTGTGAATATTTACCACCAAAGAAATTTATAAAACTAGTATAATATGAATCTCCAATAGCTCCCATTAAATATCCTGTAAATGGCGAATTGGTAGTTACATTAATTTTAATATATCTACCGAAGCTTGTAACTGAATTTAGAACATTGTAATCCTTTACATTTGGTTTAATATTTTCAACAACAATTACATTGAACATTAGATTAAATTGCAATTCTTCATCTTCTGACATAATTTGTAAATAATAAGCTACTCTACCATGTATATTACGATCAATTAGATCAGAAATATTAAATATCGCTGAATAATTCTCGCCAATAACTATCGAATCATTGTATAAGTTTAGTTCATCTGGATTAATGTGTTCGTAATACCCTGTTGTATATATTTAACTGTAAACATATCCAAAGGATTGATGACTCTCATATTCATCTTTTAATGTTTGTATTTCTTGAAGGTGCCTTTGACCAATAGGTTCAAATTCTGGAGGATAATCAGGGGGATAATCGGGAGGATATTCTGGAGGATAATCAGGGATATACTCGTCTTCAGTAATGTTTTCTTTCTTAAGTATGATATTGAATTTTGTTCCTGGATAACAGTTAGTAATTATCCCACTGAAATTAAAATAGTCATTTGGCTTCACGAATATCTGGCGATCATTAATACTTCCATAATATTTTTTAAATAGCTGTGTATTTGGTTGTTTAACACGATAGCTGAAAACTGTTTGTGTTATTTGATAGCTATCTGCAGCAATTATTGTAATATGATTATAATCATTTATGGGATTAACTGCGAAATTATATGTGAAATTTTTCATGGAATTATCGGTAATATTGATCGTATGTAGCAAAGTTATTGCTCCATCTTTTGAATTGATTAGTGATATATTCAAAATGTTCCCGATGTTTTCATCTTGAACCCAATACTTTAATGTGTAATTTCCTGGATCAAACTCATATGGATAATATTCCTCAAATTCTGATAATCCAATGCGAGGTCTTTGATTTTGTCTCAATATAGTGCAATTAAAATTAATAATTTTTGAAATTCCTTCATAAGAATTCAGGAAAAAACCGAATGTATGATTTCCTTCCTGAATATTAAAAGAAAAGTAGGCATTGCGTTCATATTGATTGTTATTTCAAGAAAATATTATATTATTAGTATCATTATCAATAATTAATGAAGGAATAAATCCATAAGTGATTGGGGATTGAAAGTGAAAGTAAATTTCATTTGAGAGAGCATAGGGATTTACATTTGTTATATTGGCGGATAACTCAGCGTTTGTTTTCCTCTCGAACATTACATATATAGGTTCTGAGTTCATTGAAAACTGAGAATGCACAACTAATCTATATACAGCATTATTAAATGTGCTGCTAGGAAAAGTTGCATAAACTCTTTCTGAATAATTTGCTTGAGATGAAACAAAAGTTGCAATTTTTTCATAAATGTAAATGGCATTTTCAATGAAATATGTTGTATTTGATAATGAAGTTGTTACAAGCAATGAGAATTGCTCTCCATAATATAAAACATTATTATCAAATAGTGATAATTTAGGTGTTGGTTCAATAAATGAATCATCTGTCAGTTTGAATTTAATTGTTTCACTTTGGAATGGTTCTAAATCAATGTGAAAAATAAAGGCCCATGGTGAAATATTTGAAGCAAATGGGATAATATCCCAATTACCTGCACGATCTGGCCACCCTTGACGGAAATTATGAATCATATCGAAATTACTTTCAATAAAATGTTCTTTGGAATGAGTCAAGAAATAATAATTTGTTCCAGTATCATCTGCTGTAATAATCATTCTCTTATTTGAAATCGAGTCTCGATAAATATATTCTTTGTTGCCAGCGAATAGTGAAAAATTAGTATAATCGTTCTCCGAAAATGGAGCTTCTCCATATAATGCAAATTTAACTCTCTTAAAAGATGTAAAATTGCTTTCAAAGCTAATTTCAAGATATAACGAATTTTCATCTTGAGGTGTAATAATATTAGAACGAATCCTGATACCATTTGCGAAAAAATCGCCGTTATTCGTAGAATTATATCTGAATCCTAAATTATCAATATTAAATTCTCCCTTAAAACCATACATAGAAATTGGATGACCTTCATAATATGGATGGAAGATTCTGGTGTTTTCACTCGATTTGTTCCACGTAAATTTATTTGATAATGAAAGTACATTATATAGATAAAGCATATTTAAAATATTTATAATTTTGAAAGTACTCTGAAAAATTGAATGTAATAAATGGTTATCGAATTCTTTTAATATGTATAATTTTAATTGTTAAACTATATATATTAAATGCTATTTTTATGAAAAAATCGGTTTATCTCAAATTTTCAATAAATGATAATTGAACTTGAGATTTATAAAAACTTGATCTACTTTGAATAAATTATATATTCGATTAAAAATAGTCCGTATTGAATTTTATTATATTGAATTTTATTTCAGAAGATTGGGTTAAATTTATTTACAATTTAAATTGATATGATGGTACAATAAAAAAGATGACTCATTGTTAATTATTCATTTATCCATATTGTAAAATTGAAATGATTTTAAATTGATGGTATTGCATTAATAACAAATAAAGTTGCTAATATATTATCGACTTTACATTTTACGAATTTGAATCATATTCAAAAACTGTATCTAGGTTAGTCACACTCTATGTCAACAAATAGAATGTTTATCAAAAAAACTATCAATCGTAAATTTTATTTTTTCGGAGAAAAAAATTTGATTCATATATAAATTAAGTATTATAGAGTTGGTACTTTAATGAATTATTTTGGACCAAAATGGATTTTGTTCTTAGAAAAAAGATAAATAAAATGGTGGTTCGATGATAATTTTATTATCATCGATCTTGCATCTTTATTTAGTGATTTTTTAATACTTTTTTTTGTTAGAAATGACTTAAATTATATGATATTTTTAACAAATTAACGTTGAGGATATAAATTCACATGTAAGCATTAAACCTTAATGTAAAACTATTTAATAATGCATTATTTGGACGTTTTCAACTCAGATAAAATTGAGATTTCTGAATATCCGATATCATGGATCTATTTATCGAATATTGTATTCCTGCCTCATATTTAAGCTAAATGAATTTGATCCATATTCTATTTGAAAAACATCGACCTATATCTGTAAATTAAAGCTTTGGTACAAACACTGTTGGGTAGGAAACACATAAATTCATAGCTTTTGTAATTTAAATATTTTGCAATACAATGAAAATAGCACCGGCGTCAATGGTGGAAAAGTGATTTAAAAAAATTAAAAAATAATAAAAAAGATGGTATTTTCTATCCACTCACAATTATTATGGCTGTCCTTGAAGTTTTGTATGAAAATGATTTTGATAAATTTAATTTTTATATCAGAAATAGTTGAATTATGGGAGTATTTTTTCTGGTTTTTACATAAAATTACAATTTTAAATAGTTCTATAGTAATACATTCATGAATATGGAATATTTATTTATAAAGCTCACAATACTCTCTCTGTCCTGATATTGGGCATTCATTGGCATCTAATAAAGTGATATTTCTAATGATGCTTGAAATTTTATCCCAATTATCATCAAACCATTTAATTAGAACTTTAAAAGATCTTTTACCAGATCTTGTAACTTCTGGTAAATCAAGAGTGCGTGAAAGTATTGATGCAATAGATAGTAGTTCAGGATGTCTAACACCTGAAGAAAACTGTGCTCGAAGTGCTTTCCAAGCTGTGCAGTTTAAATAATCAAAATTTTTTAATTCTCGTTCGATAATCCTTCCCTCTTTTCCTTTTGAAGTCTTTGTTTCTTTCTCTGCTTCAGGAAGGCTATCCATTGGATTGGAAAAGCAGCACCAAGTATATATTCAATGAACCAAAATATTATCGTTAAATTTTAATTGAAATTACTTTTTACCATCAATTTTGAATGAGAAAATTCTGCCGATTTTGGATGAATCCCATTTTGTGAAAGTTTATTATCCTCTATATTTATTTATAGTCTGTCTGTATGAATTATGAAAATTTTTTAATTTGAACATTGAAATTTCTTTCCTTGATTTGATTTCAGAACAAAACTATCATTCACATGATGTAAGATTGAGTCATTTATTAAAAATGAGACAAAATTTTAGAATAACTCATTTATTTGAAAAACCATAATATATCATTTTACTTTTAACGAGAGTTTCATCAGACATATTACTATTTTTTATGGTACTTATCACCATCTGACTCATTTCAAAAAAAAAAACTCAGATAAAATTAAAGATTAATATTTTTCGGTTTAGATTTTTGGTTGGCTAGCACAAAACTTGTGTTAGTGTGAAGTAATAATAACGTTTTATGATATTTACTTGCCTTCTGGGATCTTGTCATAGCCGTCGGATTCTTTAACTCTTGAGTAGAAGAGAAGCCATGTGAAGAATGAGGCAGCAGCGATAAGGATAACTGTTGAGTAGATGATTTCAAACTTCTTCCAACGCTTTGAGAGAGGTTGATGAACATATAAGGAAACTGGGTAGCTAATATTATCTTGGCCATAGTAAATTTGTTCCTTTTGTTCAAATGTAACGAAAACATCCATCCATTTCTGAGCTCCTCCGAAGACATAAAAGTTTTCGTTCAAGTGTTTCTTTCCAATTGATATTGGCTTCTTCTTCATAATCTTGGAACCTGCTTTAAAGCCACATCCTTCCAAAACGACGTTGTAATCGATGTTATCATTGAAATCGGCTCCAAATGCACCGCTGACGAAGAAATCATGATTGGCTGGACTTTCTCTAACAACACGGCAGATTTCTGTTGCAAGAGCTTCACGTTGGGCGCACTTATCTGGAGTTGTGCCTCTTGGGAATAGAACTGTAGCAACAATAGTATCGTTAACTGGATCATGGAACTTGACGTTTCCGTAGAATGATCCTGAGAAATCGAAAATTCCTGGCTCTCCAGTGTAGTTGCAGGTAGAGTTATGGATTGGGTAAGCGACTTGAGAAGTGAATTTTGTGATGTTGCTAATTGTAAGGCGGCTATATACTGTAACATTTGTATTGTCTTCTGGGCAATAGCGCTGAAGACCTTGCATTTTCTTTTCAGTTAATTTATTCATAACGTAATCGTATGTTGCTTTCTCATAAATTCCTGGTAAGCTGATGATGTCACAAGTTGAAAGAGATGAGTAAATTGTATCAACAATGTTATCCATTTCAGTGGTATTTGATGAGTTGCGTCCATCAAATCCGAATAAGTTCCAAACGCAATAGTTAAACTGAAATGGGTCAAGACGACGATCATTGGGATCTAGAGCTGTAGCAATAGCTAAGAGAAGACCAATCATTAAAATTTTTTACCTTTTTTTACAGCGGTTCTGTTTCAATAGTTGGTATCAATCTGATTTTTGGATGATAAAAAGAAATGAGATTGAATGCCTGTTACATCGTTCTTTATGTAATGAGGTTAGATTCTGCTCATTTTCACCGATCAAATTTGGAATGCAAGATAATTTGATAAAATCTAGTGGTGTCATCGAAATTGTTATGCGTGTCAAAAATGTAATGTTTTCAATTTCTCATATGCTAGATTTTAAAATAATTTTTAAAAAAGAACCCTTGTATTAGCTTTAATCAGCTATATTCGGTATTCACATGGTTGAAAAGATGAATTCGTATATTCCTGAAATGTTACAGATCCCTAAAAAAATCCTTAAAAATAGAAAATATTAGTAATATTTTTGACATTTTGAAAGATTTTACAAAAATAAAACCATCAAATTTACTATAGATGCACTTAATATTATATGAGTAAAAACAATTTTCATTACAATTAAAGATAAAACACTAAAATCTTCTAAAATAAATTTGAAAACTAGTTTTGGGGATTCGGCCTCGAATTTGATATAACCTTGCACATCCAATATAAAATTTTAAACCGGATCACACTTCAGTTTTGTTATTAAATTGAAATATCGCGTTGATCGTATTACAATGTGCATTCCTATTGTACATCACATGCATTAAGTATGACTAATATTCTCTTTCTAGTTATGATTGAAGCTTCATACCAACAATACAATCTGAAAAAAACTGTTCAATAGTTTTATCACTATCATAAAGTCAAAGAAGTAAACATTCAATCTGAGATTATTTTCATACTTTTTGAGCCCTTACTTAAAAGTTCGATCAATTATCAAAATTAAATCATCTTTTAACATCCTCGAAATTATTAAGAACCCATCAAAACTCAAATCATAATACAATGTATCTGTGAAATTTAATGATAAATTCTGCATTAAAACAACAAACAAAAATAAGTGTTAAATTCTTAACCAAGTTAGATAAATAATGTTAGAGTAGTAGGAAATTATGGAAATAATAGAATTTAATGAAGGAAAATTCGGTAACTGGAGGAGATCGAACAATTCACTTAAAGATATGAGCTCTCAATTTTCGACCCCCAATATACGTTTATTTTAGTTTCGGCATATTAACATGAAGCAAGAGCCAAACCCTTAAAGACGTGTCCTCTAGTTTTGCCAACTCTTTCATATATTGTAACTATTTTCAGGAAAAAACGCAAATTCAAAATTAGAAATTCACATTTAATCGAGTATAGTATTAAATTACTATCTTTCGTACACGGACCAAGCAACAACTCAAGGTGCATGCTCATTACAGACAAAATCCCCTCTAGTGCACTTAAATTGGGTGAGTTAGCACCAAACAAGCCATAAGTTAAAGATCTGAACTTGCTCCAGACAATGTATCACTTTAGTTATGAATGCACCAGAAATCCGTCCCAAACTCATACATTTCTACGCTAATCACGATAATAAATATACTATTTTGTACTTTTTACAATAAATCTCTCTTTGTTACACTACAAAATCAATGTGCATTTCGTTGCACCAGTTTTGAATCTTGTTAAATAATGATTTTTGTTACTTTCATGATACAGTCCCATTTAGTAAACGGATTATTTACAAAATAAAAATAAAAAATATATTTTTTATTTACGATTTTTTATATTTGGATTTTTAAGGCATAATTTAGAAAATATTAATAATTTAGGGCTGTACAAGATTTAAAAAAACATTGCCGGGTTACCGTAGAGGCCTAAAAAAATCGCGCCTCGGCGGCAAGCCGCCTCGGCATTAAGAATGCGCATCTAAATTTTTATATGTCCTTCTTTCTTTTATTTTTCCCTTCCCTTTCTTTTCTTTTTCTTTTTTTCCCTCCTCTTGCTCTCATTTACCTTTTTTTTCCTTTTCTCATCATTTTTCAAAATTTTAAATTTTTATCAAAAATCTTGCCTATAAAAGCAGACTATGGAACCTTTTAATGCCTCTTAATCAATATTATACAGCATAAAGCATATTAAATGAAAGTAATTACGTATAAATTTATTTTATTATCTTATTTATTAATTCTTTAGCATGTATTGTTTAATATTAACTTTTCTGTACATTAAATATGATATCTCCAAAGTATGAATGCCTTGTAACGAAACGAAAACTTAATTTTATGTTGAATATTTGTCACAAACATTAGATTATTAAAATATATGTTGGATATCCCTTAGTATGAGACTTCATGACTCTTGTAGTCTAACGTGAGCTTTGGATTGCAAGCTCTGTGGTTAACGAACATAAATTAATTGTAAAGTTTTCAAAATTTTTCATCGTTTCTATCAGCATCTATTTTTCCTTTAAAATAATATATTTGTATGAATACAATATTTAGTAATTTTTTTATTTCCCATAATTTCATTCAAAATTTCAGAAAAAATTAATTTCTATTCAATATTATTTCAGCTTCAAAACACTTCATTCTTATAGATGTTGATTCACTAAAGTGTGATACTCAATGTCTTATTTCAATGAAAATTGTTCTGCAAATTTATTTCACTTTTGACCTCACTTTTTCCGTAATTCAATTTTTTACTTTTAATATTTTAGATCTTCATAATATCATTTGAAAAATTAACCATATAAAAAAATCAAGTTAACAATTCACTTTTTCCGTAATTCAAAAATCAAAAATATAAATAATATATCTTTTTATCAAATATTATTATTATATTCTATGAAAAATGAGGTCCGGAAATTTTGCGGATTCCCGTAACTCAATTTTACGGAAAAAGTGCAGTAAACTATTCAAAATACGGAAAAATTGGTGTAAACTAATGATTTTACGGTAAAATCACGGAAAGTCCCGGAAGAATATATGTGCCTATATGAAATTATACAAAAATGAATCAAACGCATTTTAAAAGATTGTTCTTGTATTATAAATGCTATTCGCAGATTTATTAGTTGAAGAAAATTACCAAATTTTTGCCGATTTACAAAAAATGATTTACAAAGCATATTTTTATAAGGCTTTAAAAATCTTTAAAATGTGACCGGTGACGGAAATCCATGGTAACCAACCGCGGTTCCCGTTTGGAATGCCATATAATAATTTAATCGATTTGATATTAAGAAAGACATTTAAAATTCATAAAAGATCCAAATAATTTCATATCCAAAGTTATTAATATTTGAAGATTTGAGGAAAGAAAAGGAGAAATATTGCATATGAAATGTTTTCAAAAAATACATCAGAAATTGTAAAAGAATTTTAATAATTAATAAGATTTGGATGGGTTAAAATTTGTGATGAAACCACCCGATGCTAACTCACGCCACACATAGACAGAAGCATTCTATCACGCAACCACCCGATGCTAACTCACGCCACACATAGACAGAAGCATTCTATCACGCAACCACCCGATGCTAACTCACGCCACACATAGACAGAAGCATTCTATCACGCAACCACCCGATGCTAACTCACGCCACACATAGACAGAAGCATTCTATCACGCAACCACCCGATGCTAACTCACGCCACACATAGACAGAAGCATTCTATCACGCAACCACCCAATTTGACATTAATTTTTATTAATCTTATTTTCATTACTATATGCAACCAACCAATTTGACATTAATTTTTATTAATATATTTTTCATTACTATATGCAACCACCCAATTTGACATTAATATTCATAAATATATTTATCAAACTTATATGCACCCAACGAATTTTCAAATTCCTATCAACCACTTCTTTATTTTTATATTTTACAATTCTTTTATATACAAATTTAATACAAAGTTTTTATTCACTCATCATCTCTACTTCTTTATTATCTTCAATCTCATTCTAGCAGCTCTCGCATCTTTTACTTCCTTCATTAATTCAGGCAAGTATTTTTCCAACCAAATTTCTGGTTTATTTTGTAATGCAGATTCATAATTTTTTGATTGTTTTTCCAGAGAATTGATTAAATCTTTGGCATCTTGGAACGTTTCAAGATTATAAAGCAGTTTTACGACTAAAACTGCTTTATTTTTATCGTCAATATCAATAAATTCTGCGTATTTTGATATTTCGATCGGCGAACTCTTTTCTTTGTGATCCACGAGTTCATCCTGATCACCTACATTTTTATCGATTGGGAATTCTATGATTTCACCTACGTTTTTTCCTATTTTCATAACATGTATGCCTGCAGATGGAACATGATTCTTATTCATAAAGAAATCCTTGCAATATTTACAAGGATTCTTATCAGTATTAATATCATTATAGGAGAATCCGCAATGTATGCATTTTTCGTTTAACAAGTCATTCTTCTCGCGTTTTTGCTTATTAATGGGATCAATTGATTCATTAATCCTTATGATAGTATCATTCAGAATGAATTTGATGAAAGTAGAAAAGTTTCTTGCTTTTTTTGCAAGTTCGTTAATGTGTCTATGCTTACCCTCTGCACTATTATTAGTGCTTATAGGTTTTTGCTCTGATGTGTCTATGCTTACTCTGATGCTGCTAAATGCTCTTGATCTTTATATATCTGCTTCCATTTTTCCAGCTGCTCATCTGATATATTCTTTGTAGCATACATTTTCTGAACCGATGGATCAAAACATTTGTAATTGTCCTCAAAATCTTGGGCCGATTTTGATAATAATACTATCAGAGCAAAAACATGTAGTAAAGTATTATTGCCCATGGTTCCGAGATAGTGCCTAATACAGATATAATTTTGGAAATGATTCGTATTCAAAAATTTTAAAACTCCAGTACCTAAATCGCTCATCCATTTGATTCTTGAAAAGTGCTCCATAATGTTTAATGATTTAAATTCAATATTCATGGCTGTAAGCCACCGTTGATAAGCAGCGGATGATTCGCTGCGCCCTATGTATATCCCTAGAGGGTAACCTCGCATATAGTAATTACCACGAGGAAAAATAAATATATATTTCGGCCATGAAAAAGTAGCAT